ATGGGGTATGTGATGTGATGTTTATACACATACGATGGAATGACTAAAGCTAATTAACATCCCCTCAATTTTTTTGATGGTAAGATATTTGAAATTTACTCTTAGTAATTTTGAAATATACATTATTTGTGATGGTTAATCTGAATCATTACCTGGATTGGCTTAAGAGATGCTAAATATTTTAAGAGGCTTCTGGGTGTGTCAGTGAGGGTGTTTCTAGAAATGATTGGCACATGGGAAAACAAACTGAGGAGGAGCCCCACCTTAAATGTGGGCAGCACAGTCCAATAGGACAGAAGTCTGGATGGAAAAAAAGTGGTAGACAATTAGAAAGCAGAAGCAGAAGCCATTGCAAGCTCCATTCACCTTGAGTGGCTGTTATGATTGGTGCTATGATTGCCTGAGGACATCGGACTCTGACCAGAAACTCTCCAGGAGGTTTCCAGGCCTTTGGGATACACTGGGGTTACGTCATTTGGTCCCTCTTGTTCTGAGATTCCAGCTTCTTGGACTGAGCAGCAACTGGTTCTTTGAGCTCTCTAGTCTGTAGACGACCATTGTGAGACTGTCCAGTTCCCTGTTATGTAGGCCAATTTAATTAATCTCCATTTTATAATTATCCATCTATCCATCCATCCATCCATCTATATCCATCTATCCACCCATCCACCCACCTATCTCCTGTTGGTTTTGTTTCTATAGAGAACACTAATACATTATTGTTAACTCTAAGTCAACATATTCTGCAACAGCATAATGTTTTCCATGATCATCCTTGTCACAAATGACAGAGTATACCCAAGGCTCATTAGTATTCTGTTGTGTGTGTATGCCACATTTTCTTTATTCATTTATTTTTGATGGACACTTATGTGGATCTTGGCTACTGTGACTAATGCTGGAATGAGCATAGAAGTGCAGATGTCTCTTCAATAAATAGATTTTTATTTCCTTTGGATATACTTAGTAGTGAGATTGCTGGATCATATGGTAGTTCTATTTTAGGTTTTTTTTTTTTTGTTTTTTTTTTTTTTTTGAGGAATCACAATATCATTTTCCCTAATAGTTGCACTAATTTACATTTCCCAACAGTGAGTGTGGTCAGGGTTCCCTTTTCTCCACAGCCTCCCCAATGTTTCCACCTTTTTGATAATAGCCATTCTAGGGAAGTGTGTGGTTTTAATTTGTATTTTCTTAGTGATTAGTGATGCTTAGCATTTTCTCATGAACCTCGTGTTAGCTTTTCACTGCAGACAAAATATCTGATATAAGCAACTTAAAGAAAGATTTATTTTGGCTCAGTGTTTCAGAGGTTTCAGTCCATGGTCTGCTTGCTGCATTGCTTTGGGCCTGAGGTGAGGCAGAACATCATGAAAGAAGAGCATGAGGGAGGAAAGCTGCTCTTGTAGCAGCTGGTAAGCAGAGAGAGAGAGAGGAATGGATTAGGAATAAGATATTGCTCAAGCCTTCCCACTCCCTTCAAACTGTAGGTCCCACCTCCTACGGTTTCCATCACCTCCCACTAACTCATCTGAGTCCATCAATGGATAAATCCACAGGGTGGGTCACGGGGGCATTCTCTGTTTCCTAGCCTTCATGATCTAATCACTTCTGAAAAGTCATACCTCTGAACATTGTTGCTTTGGAGACCAAGTCTTCAACACATGGACCTCTGGGGGACATTTCAAATCCAAATAATCATAAAGCTGTTGTCCATTTCTATCTTTTTGAGAAATGTTTATTTATTTACTTTGTTCAGTAAATTGGGTTGTTTTCTTGGTATTGAGTTGATTTTCTCATATATTGTGGATTGTCCCTTCATTTTGTTGTTTTCATTGCTGTTCAGCTTTTTTAAAAATTGCTTTTATTTTTTAAATACATGACAGCAGAATGCATCACAATTCTTATTACACATATAGAACAAATTTTCAGATTTCTGGTTATATACAAAGTATATTCACAACAATTCATGTCTTTGGATAATGATGTCTATCACAATCCACCATCATTGCTAACCCCCTGCCCCCTTTCTTTCCCTCCTACCCCTTGGCCCTATCTAGCATTCGTCTATTCCTCCCATGCTTTCCCTCCTCCCTACCCTCCCTACCCCATTATGAATCAGCCTCCTTATATCAGAGAAAACATTTGGCATTTTTTTTTTTTGGCAAGGGCATTGGCTAACTTCACTTAGCATTATCTTCTCCAACTGCATCCATTTACCTGCAAATGCCATGATTTTATTCTCTTTTATTGCTGAGTATATATGCTGCATTTTTTTTTTAATCTATTCATCTACTGAAGGGCATCTAGGTTGGCTCCACAATTTAGCTATTGTGATTTGTGTGCTGTGCACCTTTTTAGTTTGATGTAATCCCATCTGTCTATTTTTGCTTCTGTTTTCTATGCTTTTGGGGTCATACCCAAGAAGTCATTGCCTAGATCAATGGTTATGAAGTTTTCAGTTTTCTTGAGTGGTTTTAGTTTCAGTCCCTATATTTATCCTTAATGAGATGATTTTTGTATATGGTATAAGGTCCTGAATTCATTTTCCTGCATGTGGGTATCCAGTTTTCCAAATACCATTTACTGAAGAGACCATCATATTTCCTTTGAGTATTCTTGGCAACTTTATTGAAAATCATGTTTGTAAAAGCTAGGTTTACTTCTGAACATTATCCTGTTTCATTGGTCAATGTGCTTGCCTTTAAGCCAATACTATTGTTTTGATTAAGATACCTTTGTAGTATATTTTCATATCAAGTGTTGTGATTCCTTTAACTTTGCTCTTTTAGCTCAAGATTCCTTTAGCTATTTGGAGTCTTGTTCCATTTGAATTTTAGGATTATTTTTTCTATTGCAGTAAATCTGCTTTGGGTAATTTGGTCATTTAACAATATTCTTTCAACTCACGAACACGGGATATCTTCCTGTTGTGTTATCTTCAATTTCTTTCACCAATGTTTCAGTTTTTAGTATATAGACTGTTTACTTCTTTGGTTAGATGTATGCACATCTTATTTATTTAAATTCCTTGATGTTATGGTTTAGATATGAAGTGTCCCCCCAAAGCTCCTGTGTTAATGGAGGAATATTTGAAGGTGAAATGATTGGATTGTGAGAACTCTCACCTAATCAGTTCATCCTAGTTTGCATGGGCTAGGTGGTAACTATAGGCAGGTGGGTGTGGTGAGAAGAGATGGGTAACAGCGGACATGCCTTGAAAGGGTTCATTTTCCCTGTAACCTCTCTTTCTCTCTGCTTCCTAGCCATCATAAGGTGAGCAGCATTCCTCCACCATGCCCTTCCACTATGTTGTTCTGTCTTTCCTTGGGCCCAGAGAAAAGAGTTAACCTACCATGGATGAAATCTTTGAAACCATGAGCCAAAATAAACTTTCCCTCCTCTAAGTTGTTATTGTCAGGCATTTTGGTCACAGTGACAAAAAGCTAACACACTTTGTTAAATTTACATCTTATTTAAGTTGCTCTTCGTCAGTGTTCTCACTTTAACAAGAGACACCCTTTGAGGCTGAGAACTCTGATTCTTATTGCAAAATTCAGCCAATTCCATGACAAGGACTGTGCTTGATTTTCAGTCCTAACTTTAGGGAACTGATTCTCCTTCTGGGCACACCTAGAAGCTCTTAGATTATTTATGTAGCATCTGAGCTCCTATAGGAATTTGAATTTCTGAGTGCATCCTTTCATCATTTTGCCAGAACAACTGTAACTGTATATGTATTTCTCATATACTGAGTCACTATGTCACTTGCCTCTTGTACATGCATGATCAGGAGTATCCAATGTAGATATTTTGTGTATCTCCATAGAGTTCATGCCGTGGCTATCAGGGCTCTCTGTACTGTTGGAAATAGTCTTTAGTGTTTTTTTTATAGTCTAATCACTATAAATTCCAGAAACCCCAAAACCTATTCAAGAAACTCATACTGAAATTTCGGCTCCACAAAACCATTCCTCCTATCAAAACTGTTAGGGTTCTCCAGAAAATAGGAGATCAAATAAATTATATGTTGATTGTTAGATACCAGAGAGGATTTATTACAGCAATTGGCTTATGCTATCATAGAGAACAAGTCCTGTGATATACCATCTGCAAACTGGAAAACTAAATAGGCTAGTGACATATTTCAGTCTAATTTCAAAGACCTGAGAACCAGGGGGCTCCTGGTATCAGTCCCGGAGTTTGAAGGCCCAGGAAGGGGTTTTGATATCCAAGATGGCTGCCCTTGTTCCCCAAGAAAGTGAATTTGCCTTTTGCTCCATCTGGGTTCTCCTCAACTGTTTGGATGGTGCCCATCCACACTGGGCGAGGGTGGATCTTCCTCCTTCAGTCCACTGATTCAAATACTAAACTCTTCTGGGAAAAAACCTCACATTCATACCTAAAAATAACCTATCTAATTATGGCTTAACCCAATCCAGTCAACACCTAAAATTAACAATCACAGTAGGAGAGGATCAATTATCTCTGGAGCTTTAATCTTCATGAAAGCATTCCTGTTTGAAATAGCCTAAATGTGTCTATCTTCTGTGCTGTCATCCATGCACCCTGAGAACAATGACTAAGACATAGGGTATGGTTCCTGATGTTTTTAGTTGTAACAAATACCTCTGATGATGCTTACAGATCTTTAATCTGAAAATATACCAATCTGTGCAAAGCTTATTCCAAAATAGAACATAGGTTATACTTTTTCTGTAAGGAATTATTTGATATTCTACACTTCTTTGTGTTTCAGAACCAGCTTTTTGTGCTTAGAATAAATGACCCACGTACAAGTGCAGTCAAAAGTGCAAAGGGTGGGATGGGAGCAGCTATATGTAGATAGAACAGGCATGCTGATAAAAGACGACAACACAAAAAAAGCACACACAAGTAATAATGAAAATAAATTATTTATAACTTAAAATTCTTTCTTTCACATAAAAACAATAAACTATAATAATTTTACTATCTTTTTAGGAAAGATACATTAAAAATGTTGAATGTTAAGACAATAATTACATCCTTTATATTTAATAACTTTCATACCTTACACGGGTTGTCCACAATTTCACCAAGATCTAGGTTACCAGTCCTTCATAAAGTATTTACTCTGTAATTATTATTTTATAATTGCACTTATGTAATCACTAAATACTTGGCTGTGGCTTTTCCAAATTGAAATGTGCTATAAATATATATTCTGAAGACTTTCTATGAAAAAAATTCTCAAATTCAATTTTTATTTCTTACCTTTTTAAGTGTTGCTACTACAAAATTACAAATTACACGTATAGCTCATACATATCATTAGTGCTGGTCTAGAACTTTTAGAACAAACTGGCTAAAGCTTTGACTTATCACTCTCTCACATATTTCCTATCTGTTTTAAAAATGGGAATTGTAACATAACAGTGCAGCTACTTTTATGCATATCTGTATTTTTTCTAATGGACAGATATTTTTCAACAGAAAAGATAAAAATTATATTGTTTATAATTTTAGAATTACAAAAAATTAGGACTAGACACAGACTAAAACAATGGAAAATCAAACTCCCCTACTACTTGTTAAATGTATTTTCCACTTTATATCAGGTTAAAGAAAAAAAGCCACCTGGAGGAAGTGGCAGAAAACTAGGAGGACATAAGAATTCACCATCTCAATTAGAATTGTCATCTCAATTACTAGGGAAATTCTAACTTGGCTAGGATCGATGAGATGTCCATGCCACTGGGCTTACAAGCTTTTACTCATTTTCATGAGAAAGAGGAAGTGTTTTTCTGTCACAAAGAAATTTAAGAATACATACTTGGTCAATAATAATGTGGCAGAGAATGTGCAATTTTTTCTTTCCATTTCTAGAATGTGAGACCTTTTATAGTAAATCTTAACTAGTTATAAGCATCTGACATTAAGGAACCTGTCCATAGTCATTTAAAATGTGATTAGTTAATGCTTTTTGTTAAAACATACCATGACGCTTTTATTTACTTATTTTCCCTGTTGGTGCAGATTATTTTGGTGGTGTTTGCTTCTGGCAACAGACTGGAACACTTAATTGTCAAAAGCTGTCTTTCCGACAATGGTACATTTTCATCCATTTTTATACCTTTCAATGAGGTCATATGAATCTGAGTTTCTAGCAAAACTTTGGTGCATTTACTTGATTTGCAAAAGCAACTGGCACAACCACCCCCTGCCGGTGCAGCTCCCGAAGGACATCCAGTATTGAGTCTAATTCTGTGCGAAATTTGTCCAGCTCGTAATTCTTCAACTGTGCGAGTTTTTTCCATTTCTCAATTTCTTTGTTTTGCTCGGTTTCTACAACTTGGTGTGTTTGCTGTATTATCTGCAAATACAAAAGCCTCACATTATTTTTAGTTTACAGTGGGAGTGAAGAACATTTCAGTCATAAAGAGCTAAAATTGGACAATGCTGGCGTTTCTCTGGGATACTCAGGCCAACCATAAAATTATGCATGTATACATTGTTTTCTGTCTCTTAAGGGGTATATAAATTTTCATTGTTATAGACTAAATGTCTGAATTCTCCCCAAATTTTAATGTTTTAAAAAAGTCCTAACCCTTGGTGTGGTTATATTTGGAGCAAATAAGACTAAATGAGGTGACAAGGGTGGAGCCCTGATCTGATAGGACTGGTGTCCTTCTAAGAGCCATCAGAGAGCTCTCTCTCACCTGTTCTCCCTTTCCTTGGTGTGCATGCACCAAGGAAAAAGAAAAGAGAACACAGAAAAGACTGCCATCTGCAAGCTGGGAACATATCCCTTACCGGAAACCAAACTGACCAGCATCTTGATCTTGGACTTTTGGCCTCCAGAACTAGTAATGGTCGTTTTGGCCACCCTAGTACACACTATTTTTTTATGGCAGCCTGAGCAGACTACACACTGTTCAAGCAAAGATAAATATCAGCACCAAGGCAAGTACCTTAAAACATATCATATCCTTATATATGCTATTTTAAATTTCTATCAATTTATCTGTTTATAATTAAATGCAGTAAATATATTACTAGGTATATTTTAATGATTACAATTTATTGGAAATTTGTTACAAATATTTGTTGAAATCACTTGAATATGGAATATTGTTCCCATCCACATTCCTGTTCCCCGGGTAAGATGTAAAACTTCTTAGGCACTAATCAATAATTAAGAGCACAAATTTTTTCTTTCTCCAAATATAAGGCAAATCAATCTTCAAAGTATTTGAGATAAAGGCTTATTTTCTCTTACAGAGCTATAATTTATTTTTTAACAAGATCAAAATAAAACAAAACACTCTAAGAAGTAACTTTTGGTAAGGGTATCTTAAAACTATAAAAAGTAAGGCACTTAAAAGTTAAGGATTATAAAATATGTAAATGTGATCTACTACTTTACCTGCTGAAGTTCCTGTTCTCTTTGCTTATGTCTCATTTCCATCTGCTTAACTTTCTTTTCTAAGCTCATGAAATGTTTCATCTCTGGTGTATGGTTTTCTTTGGCTTCTCTCAATTCTTCTAAGAGTTTTGCAATCTAAAATTAAAATTAAAGTATGAAGTAATTGAGAAACTATGATCATAAGAAAATAATTCCTTTTTAAATAGGTAATCTTAAAAATCAAGAACAATTGTATAAAATTTATCTAGATAGAGGCATCTTGGATTCTTTCATTAATAACTTCCATTCCTTATGTTCAGGAAGTAAAAAACATCTTGTTATCACATTTCAAGAAGTTCTAGATGATTAGAGCACCTTCTCCCTCCCACATATTAATCTAGTTTAGGGGCTCAAAATGAAGTTGGGCATTTTCTTTAGTGCATTCATCCTGCTACAAAATATTAACAAGGTGATTACTTTTAGGATAAAAAGGGGGAAAAAACCATGTAAAGCACCCAACCCACTATAGTGTCCAATGTACAGAATTCAACTCCATGTAATTTTATTTGTAATTTTCCTACTATTGTTTAAAAATAATTTTTTTTGTAGATTATTTCACAAGTAAAGATATGTATATAAAGGAAAGATAATGGAAATCTGAGTTCTTTCTGTGTTGATTGCTGTCTTAGGACCTGGGGATGTAGCAATTGATCAAAGATATAGTCCCTGACCTTCTGGAGTTACAATCTACTTCAGAACCTGTGTTTTTATGCCACAGCCCACATAGAAAATGGTGATGTTTAATACCACTTAGGAGTAAAAGAGAGGGGATTTTAGGGGCTTATATATTAGGCTTAGTGAAAAAATTAACTGCATTTTATTTATGCCATATAATCTTGAAAAGAAATTCCGTAAGGAATCAGATTCAGCTAATTGTTAACATCAAAAGGCAGTAATAATAAAAAAAAAAAAAAAGAAAATGGGCAAAATTAACAAATTCATTCATATAATATGGAAACACTATTATTACAATTATAGTGATACTAAAAAAAAGTCACAAACCTTACCTAAATTAGTTGGGGGAAAAAAGTGAAAGTAAAGGCAAATTAAATTAGAAGCAAACTAAATATTTTAAATGTCAGCCCTGATGATATCACTAGTCACCAAAGAAACATGCAGTCTTTGAGATGATTTGCAGAAAGTGCAGAGGACTTATAGAACATGCTACAGTGATGGGTTCTGGGCATAAAATTCTTTTGTTAAAAACAAAAACCAAACCCAACGATGATTACTGAACTAAGAAAGTTGATATAGGCCTAGTCACACACAGAATGATCAAATGTTATTTCAATGTCTACAAATTTCTTTGGGGGGGGGGGGGGGTGTTGAAGATTGAATTCAGGGCCTAGGCAAGTGCTCCACCACTAAGCTGTATCCCCAATTCTCTAAACATTTTAGTGGATGGAAAAAAA